CTCCAACGTTCAATACCTCTTATCATTTCCCTTAATACTTATTGCAATAACCTTGAAACATTTTGTAAGGTCAGCCATATCTCACATTGATGTATACCGTATATTTTCAGCTCGAAGCAGGCCAGTTTTCTGCACTGCGCAATTTGGAAACGTTAAATATTGCTGACAATCTTATCAGTGATATCTACGATGGCGCATTTTTTGGAATGGACAATCTAACAGTGTTGAACATGACGAATAACCAGGTTTGTCATATAAATTTTGAAACAGTCCTTGAAAAATCCTACTACTGTAAGTTGGAGTCTCCTAACGTCATTTGTTTCAGCTTGTACGACTTCCTGGGAATACTTGGCCGCTGCCAACTCTTCAGTCACTAGATTTGTCTGGAAATCCATTCGTCGCCTTAGAGACTGCTTCCTTCGATACGTTGCCGTCGCTGCAATTTCTGAATTTGTCGAATTGCAAGAACTTGAAGACAATTCATGTAAGTTTTTAGAAAGCAGATCTTATAGCTAAGATTTTCAAATAATTGACAGCGAAATTAATAGAAGAAAAAAGAATGATGCAAAAATCAGATGCAATATTTGCACTTTGTGAAAGAATACCTGTTAAGGTTTTATAAAGGCGTTTTTCCAAAATTCTTGGAAACCCAAAACTTCTTAATTTGTCCTAAGCTAATTTACAAGCAATTTCTCCTCATAAAACAGTTCAAGTATGAAAATCTCCTTTGACAATCTTATGTGATTACAATTTTTCAGATGGCCGCCTTCGTCTCACTATCATCTCTGAAAACGCTGGATCTATCAAACTGCGCTTTGAATCACATAGCTCCAACTGCTTTCCAGCCATTCCCACCACTTACGATGCTATCCCTAGCCGGGAATCGTCTACAGACACTTCCATCCTCAATGCAACTATCTACAGTAGCCGCCGTGGATCTCGACAACAATCCTTGGGATTGTTCCTGTGAACTTCGTGCTTTGCATTTGCAATCAACGGCCCTTTGCGCTTCACCCGAATCTTTGGCTGGCATTCCGCTTAAGGAACTCGACACTTGCTCAATCCTCCACGGAATGGCACTTCCGCTAATTCTCAGTGTCGTCGTGCTCTTCTTAATTGTCATCCTAATATCCATCCTACTTATGAAAAAGCCAACACCTCATCGATCCTCCATCTATCACCATCAAGCTCTGATCAACGCTCTTTCTCGAAAGGAGTACGGTTTTGACCAGGCCACAAGTCCATACTGTACGAGCGACGAGT